GACGTAACAGTATGTTGATATTGAATATATTTGTATTATGAAACTGATACAAGCTTTCCCTAATGGTCACGAAGATATTAATGTTGTAAAAGATTATGTAAATTAGCAAGTCACATGAGGTGTAACCTCGTGGTCTAACCACTAAATAAAAACTCTGCCTTGAACTTAAAGGAGTTAGTTCACGACATATATAGTGAGAATAAATTATTGTTATTGAAGTGGTTTAATCTTAGAATGTTGTGTATTTTCGCAACTAGGTATTTTCTTCTTCTGGTTCTTTTTTCCTAATTCTTTTATTTATTGACATTAATAATTTGATATTTATGTTGTACTGTTTATCAACGTTTATATCAAGTCCTGGCCAGAAACGGATTTACTAACTATTTTTTGTAAGAGATAAAGTTTGTATTCCAATTGTTTGAAAGGTTTTATTTTGGATTTTTGTGTCTGTTAAAGTTTAATAAGTTGTTTTATGTTCGACTCTGGTTGTAGCGGTGTTTTGTTCTAGTCTGTTACACATTATAATATTTAAGAATGTATTACAATGTTCACAAACGCTTGAAACAATATGACAGAAAATTAGAAATTTAATATATGTAGTATAGAGTTTTAAAATAAAAATTCAGAATTAGGTAAAAGCCAAAAGTAATTGAAGGTTTAGTCGACACAAGTTATAAATCTATATAAAATGAAGAAAAATTAAAAAGAGACGTTAAAAGCGAAGGATACAAACATTGCAAAAAGCTAAAACGTTCATTTATTATAACGAGGTGGATATTTCTCAAGCCAAAAATGTTTTCTTGTAGTTCGCAGTTATATTTGTTCCTAGTGGCCTTTTTCAAAACAAGTATTTAAATTATTCAAGGGTATGGTTGTGCAAATTAAAGTGTCGAGTGTGCTGGTTTACCTACGTTACAATTTATTATGACTCGAAGAGTTATTTGATACCATCTGCCTATAATATACTGGTTTCTCCAAGGTGTGATTTTCCGCAACTTGTGCATGCACTAGAATATATGACGCATTTTGATAGGCAGTTATATTGATCCTTAATGTAAAAATTCGTTTTATAATTAAAATGTAAATAGTTGTGTGCGTATGTGGGTTTATAATGAAAACTGGTCGTGATGTTATTAGAAGTGAAAGAAAGAAGAATATTCAGCAATTATTACAATAATACTTGTCATAAGACATTAGTATTAGACTTATTACAAGTATAATTGTAATCATTTTTCGCTGCCTTGTAGAAGTCGCATACACCATAACTCTATTTTGTGTGATGTGAAAATATTATGCTTATGAAATTTTTGTGATGAAGGATTAGCATTTTGGGCTTGAAATAGTCGCATGTCCCCAGACCCCTGTAGTATAAAGCATGCTGGTTGTACTAAATGCATGTATGTGCATTGCAATCTGGTTATCTGGTCGTATACAGCATAAAACAAGGCATAACAGAGATACCGACTGGTTAATAAACAACTCTTTCAATAATTGTATTCAAATATAGAAAAACATAAAAAGATCAGAGAGTAAATATTTCAAAAAATCTCAATTTTTACAGCCTACCTTCAAAAAATTACTTATAAGTTGAAAAGACCAGCATATACTTTTGCAAAGTAGCATGTATTGTAATGATTACAATTTACTATTTGCAATATCCAGTAAATGATTGAGTTATTTTACTACAAAACTTTTAATATCCTGTAAAAAATAATTTAATAAATTAATTTCCAGAGGTATAGTTCAAAAAAGTAAAGAATAGCTATAACAATAGCTTAGTAGGACAAGAGAAAGAAATGTAGCGAGTAATGTGACAAAATGCAAAATTGAAAACATAGTAATGGTGAAAAACTCGCCAAATTAAAATAATTTCATTAGTAAACACGAAAACAAAATTTTGGGCAACAGCCCTCCATAGGGTTTCCAGTGAGGATAAAACTGTTAATAGAAGTGTTAGGGCAAAAGAAAAAAAGTAGTATGTGGCTCGAGATCAAGTTCTTAAGCTACAAAGGAGCTAATGGAAGTAACATACAAAGACAAAAATAATAATAATAATAATAAGTGAATTATTCAGTATAAAAAATGTATACATATAGTAAAATATTGGTAAATAAACTAAATAAAAAAAATAAAAAGGAGAACAAGAATACAGGCAACAATATAAGGAAATGAATTCAGTGAAAGAATGAATGCATGCATCGAGTAATATTAGTCAAAGGGATACAACAATAAAAGATATGGAAACTCGAGTAATATTAGTCAAAGGGATACAACAATAAAAGGTATGGAAACTCAAGTAATATTAGTCAAAGGGATACAACAATAAAAGGTATGGAAACTCGAGTAATATTAGTCAAAGGGATACAACAATAAAAGGTATGGAAACTCGAGTAATATTAGTCAAAGGTATACAACAATAAAAGGTATGGAAACTCGTGTAATATTAGTCAAAGGCATACAACAATAAAAGGTACGGAAACTCGTGTAATGTTAGTCAAAGGGATAGAACAATAAAAGGTATGGAAACTTAATAGCAGTGAAGAAGGACTGTGAAAGAAATGAATATAAAGTTAACAAATGTGGGTGAATAAAGTGATCGGGATAAAAAAGGAAAAAGAATGTATACAATGAACAAAAATGTTGTTCAAATAAATTCTCAATGTGAGAAAGTGTAGATCAAGTGTAACTCTTCATTCATTTCAAAGGGATTGATATTTCTTAATTTAAAAATCAAACGTTTTTCCACGCATTCTCTTTGTGTTACAGTGGATGAAGCAAATATGAGTACAAGTATGGAGTACTAAGTAATATGTAAATATATTGTACTACTATTTTCTGAAGAAACAAGTAATGAGTTACTTCAGTCATGTGCAACACATTGTGATGATTCTTAAGAGTTTTGGGCTTGTTTCTTTTTTCTTAAGCAAAGTTTACAACAATTACAAAAGTTCTTAGGCATTTTTTTTTTTTTATAAATTTACCACAACTTTTGCACCAACTGGCAAATAATCTCATGAACAAGGCTCCAATCTGTTATACGTTCAGGATTTTTTTTTTTTGAATTTAGACTTCTGTGCAGACATTACACATTTTCAAAAGTGCAATAGATTCTCAAATACATAAAATAAATATAATCTACTATATTAAGTTAGCATTTCTATTAAAAAAACACCAAAAAATTATTTGAGGGACTTCATGAATGAAAATGTTGTTTTGAGTTAAAATGCTGATACACTACACAAAAATAACTAATAAGGCCTTAACCAAAATTTTTGAAAATGTGGTGGCTCCAGGGATAGAATCTCTAGTAGAGAAAGTGACATGATATTTGATATTAAGTTCAAAAACATGTTAGAAATAAAGCGGTATATAACATTCATAAAGATTAAATTTATAATATATTTTACGTCTGAATAACAATTAAGTTTCTTTAAAATGAATTACTTTTTCATTTTGAAAAAAAGATTAAAATTTAGGGGAAAAAGCTATTAAGTTTTGCAACAAAAGTTTCAAGTCCATTAAAGAAACTATATCAATGAAGTGCACAATATATGTGTATTATGTATAAAAAAATTTCAACAAAAATAGGTTTGGTTTTAAATACAATTTTATTAGCATAATGCATTTCCTTGGACATTACTTAAATCTTCTATTAATAAAAGATATTATAACCAGTGATTAGACAAACAACTGACACCTCAACGGGATTTGTAACATGGAAATTCTGTACTGTACAGTATAATATTTTTGCTTAAAAATAACTAGAAATTAAAGGAAGTATGCGTATGAACAAATTAAAAATAAAATATATATCAGCGTTTGCCATTATTGTAGCTCATTGTTCGAACTGGAGCCTTGAAATTAGCAGCTGCTTTCTGCTGTAACTGGTAAGCAAGAGGGTGGATCTTGAAACCATACAGTCTGGAAAAAGCAAAAATTAGAATTCTTAACTATGACAAGAGAAAAAACATGCTATTAATGTTATCCCATATTTAAACGTTAATCTATTATGAATGAAATTATAAAAAACAACTATATTTTATATATATAACTGTGTTTACTGTGTAATAAACAGCTACTGTAAAAATGAATATTGTGATGAAAAGTGGTCAACTAGCACTATCAAGAACAACAAAAAGTTTATAAATCAAACTGTTTTGCATCATGTGCTACATTCATTACAAACATGAAGATGTATTGTGAATGTGAAATAGCCTGAATAAAGTTTAGTCTAGTATAATGCTAATTTTCTCTCTCCAAAAATTAAGATAGTCCTCAAAGCACAACTGAAATTAGCCTTTAAGTTAGTAGAATTGTGCAAAGCAAATGATGCACTAATTTTCCATGCAAGTATTTCAAGATTCCAAAGAAAATAACTTACTTTAACAATTAAATTTTCATTATATTTTTCTTCTTTTCTCTTTTTGTTGTAGAGCTTTATTTCAGTATCAAAATACATAATTAAATTTTATCCTCAAGGTTGTTAGAGAGAGTTAAATTGTTTGTTTGTTTGTAATTAAGCACAAAGCTACACAAAGGGCTATCTGTGCTCTGCCCACCACGAATATCGAAACCCAGATTCTAGTGTTGTAAGTCCGCAGACATACCGCTGTGCTACTGGGGGGCTGAGAGTTAAATTACAGAGCTTCATTTTGAGAAATTAAACAAGTTATTTTGATGGTTTTTAGATCTTGTTAAAATAATTAAACTTTATGATTTAACTATAAATTTTGTGATTTTCTTACCCTATCATCTGTAAATTCTCCTATGTTATGATTTTTTTTCCTAAACTGGTGTTATCGAAATATGTTTTTATGTGATCAATTTCTCAAACCTAAACATAATTCAACTGAGTGTAAAAATACATAAAACTACTTCATAACATAAAACTGCATTCATTTTAATCAATATGTTTGCATCAATAAACTACAAATTATACAACTCAACATTTAGAGACAACTGAAGCAATTAGATGGTTTGCATACCGAGGAACAAACTGATTTGTGGGACGCTTAGGTCTGTATTCTGGATGTACCATAAATAACATGTGTGGAAATCCTGTTCCAAAGTATGCTCCATCTGTGTGGTGGTGTCGAGATGACTTAGGATTATAGACATCCATACATTTGGGGCAGTACAGCTTGACCATTGCCTCTCCAGGAACATCTGACAAACCTTCAAGATAAACACAAATAGTTCTCAAATGTAGCTACTGCTGATAACTAAATAAAAATTAAGTTTTCAAGCATTAATAAAACAATATGAAACTATTCAATTTTATTCTTCACAATATAAAACAAATATATTTATGTAGATCTTGTATTTAATGCAAAAATAAACATATTTCAATCTGTCTAAAATCAAGACAGTTTGATATCCAATATGAAATTACACATGTATAATTGTACAATTCTGTAAACTAGTGGTTCAATGGCTTCACAACTTCTAATGCATCTACAAGTTAGTGGTTCAATGGCATCATAACTTGTAATTCATCTATAAATTAGTGGTTCAATGGCATCATAACTTCTAATGCATCTATAAACTAGTGGTCAACTGGCATCATAGCTTCTAATGCATCTATTAATTAGTGGTTACATGGCATCTTAACTTCTAATGCATCTATAAATTAGTAGTTCACTGGCATCATAACTTCTAATGCATTTATAAATTAGTAGTTCACTGGCATCATAACTTCTAATGCATTTATAAATTAGTAGTTCACTGGCATCATAGCTTCTAATGCATCTATAAATTAGTAGTTCCCTAGCATCATAGCTTCTAATGCATCTAGTAGTTCTAATAGTCCATAAGCAGAGATATTCATAACTATATCTTACTCCTTTCAAATTTGCCAGAATGAAAAAGAATATCTGGAAAACAAATCAGATATGCCATGACAGTAAACTTCTTGCACTTAAGAGCTGCGATAAAAATTGTAAAAATGATGTGAAAGAGCAGTACATGATGATTCTCTTCATGCCAGTGATGTATACATGAACTCTGATTTCAAATAATAAACCCTCAAATTTAATTGTATTATGAACATGTGAATAGTCATTCTGGTGTTGCATATCTTGTTAACATCAAACCAATCACAATACCACAGAAATAAACATTTAACAAGTAACCCACCACCCCCTCAGAAAAAAGAAAAAATTCCATAGCCATGCAAATGTATAGAACTTTGGAGAAGTGAATGATTGCAACTTCTGTTTAGAAATGTGCTTTTTTTTTTTGACAAATTTCTTGTGGATTCAGGACTTTGTTGGTTATGTGATCACAAATAACATACAAATAAACTACAATTGTAAACAAATATAATGTTAAATATTGCAATTACTCCCATTAAATACTGTTGACATTTCTTCTAATTTTAAATGGAAAAGTAGTTATTTCAATCTTTTTTTTGTCAGTTCTTTGCACTGAGTAGTATATAAACAAATCAATCAGTACCATATTTTATGGCATATAAGACACACCCATATTTTAGCAAAAAATATTTAGGAAAAAAAACATTTGAGTGTATCAAAGCATTTTTCTGTCCTTGAATGGGATTCTTATAACCAATAGAAAGAGCGCAATTCACCATTAGTCTCTCCAGGGTAAGGAGATGTAAGTAATACATTATTTTTCTAATGACAAGAATATTTCCATTGGGGTTTGTTGTGAATATCAGTGTCCCCAGCAAGTAAACTGTTCTGGCCTGATGTGGCAGTAAGGAATTGAGCAGTTTAAGAACTGTTGCATGTTACAAATAGGCACTGTAGTAGACAGTAGTGTTCATGAGAATTCAGAAACACTTAATGCTTCACTATGAATAACCAGGTGAACTGCTCTGCTATACTGACACTAATCATCTTGGATTATCATAATCTATTATAAATCCACTCATATATTTTGCAAATTTTTTTCATTAATTATAAGCCTAATCATATATTTTTTGTAAAACTTAATTTTTATATTTTAATCTACAGTTGTCTGGGGAAAGACTACACAGAATTTAATTATGGGGAGCAAAACTGAGAGATGCATTTTCTTTAACTTCACATAATATACATAGGATGATTTTTAGTGGCTTTACTCAGGAAAAAAAAAGTGTGTCTATATGCTGTAAAATATGGTAATTTGAGGGTTAAAATGAAAAAACTACAAAAAATTAATATCTTTAACAAATTTCAAGTACTTAATTGAAGACCTTCAGAATTTACAAGAAATTAGAATTTGCGGTTTATTACCACATCTCTTCAATAACTTAAAACCAAACAATATCTTACTATAAACACATATTTTGAAATTATGTCAAGCATAAATGAACACCCAGACACCCATACATTAAGGAGATTTGTAGTGGATCCTCTTGTTAGTAAAATCATTATGCAGTAGATTAGTTTCCCAAACAATTTCAAATTATGTTATTGAAAAAATTAATCTTTCAACGTGATTAAAAGTTTTATTCACATTGACTATCTGAAGCCTCAACTTTGACTGGTAGCCAGTTCATGATTCTTGCCACAGCTGGGAGCTGTCTTTAAACTACTATCTTTCTAACATATGTTTTAGATGATGAAATTATCTTACAATTGCATAATGATTTTTAATTCACGTATCAATATACACATCAGAATGTTAAATAGTTTTTCTTTTCTAATACGTTTTGAATAACATGCTTACAATGGCCTGTCCAATAAACAGCTCTAGAATTATTATACTAGTTTGTTTTATTTTATAATTAAATGGTATTTTTTAAGTTTATAAATTCATTAAATAGTAAATTATTATAGCAGATTTGAGAAAATATAAAAATATTAATACTCTGTGGATACATTAATGTAACTTCAAACTTTTTGTAATTTAATTTTTAAAAACTTTGAAGCTTAAACAGTTAAAAACCTTTACAATTTGTGACAATGTTTTTAAAAGATATTTCTATATCCAAACAAACAAATTTGGTAAAGACTTTTACTATAAAGTTTAATTTTACATGATCAATGACAAAATTGAAACACAAGGTAGAGAAGTAAATACAAGTAATGGATATTGTTCTATATAAAATTCCTGACACAAAGCTCACACAGTAAGTTCTAGATAGAGTGAAGAAAAAAATTAAGTCTAGTACATAAAATCCAAAAGTTAGGCAGTAAGGCATATTTCAACTCTAACACAGCTTGAAGCTAATCTTACCAATTGGCAGCATTGGTTGATTTTCACAATAAACACGGGGACAGTAACCAAAATCACCATTCTGGTATTTTTCAATCTATATTTATTCAAAAAATAAAAGAAAAATTTCAAATGTTGTTTACTCACTTAATGTAAAACATATTTTGAAAGTTTATTTGTGAACACAAAGCTACACAATGGGTTATATGTGCTTTGCCCACTGTAAGTTTAAAAACCCAAATTTTAATGTTACGCCTACAGACTACTGACCCATAGAGTGACAATTTAAAACATAACTTTCATAAAAAGTCTATATTATTAAAATCCCAACTTGAGTAGGTAAATATTCATTTGATGTATATATAAATAAACCAAGAAATGAAAAGCATAGCACACACCTCGCAACAAAGTATATAAATCATACCATACGAAAATTAAACCTAACCATAAATAAAAAAAAAACTCATTTTAGTCTGATGAATTAAACACAAGGAATGACATTTTAAAGTCTCATGATTAAGTCCAAAAATGATATTTTGGTAACGTAACACCTCCCTTTGTAGGTTTACTATCTCACTGTTATGCTCTTGTACCAGAAATATGCCTAATCTTTTGACTTATGGTTATATCTTTTGGAAATTTTTATTGCCAAACACAAAATATGTTCATTTTTTATATTAAAAAGAATTTTACTGAACACTTAACATTCTATAAAAAGATGTTACTTCTTAAATAAAAAAGACATTTAAATGTTTCATAAAATATATTTAATATAAATTAATATTTTCATCTGTTTAAAACAGACAGAAGAATTAAGTATTAAGTCAGACATGGTTTTGTAATCACAATAAATATTTGACTGATAGTTTGGATTGTCGTATTAAATTTATATATGAAGAAAATAAAGTAGCTTTAGCTAGTTAAAGTCAAATTTAGTAATTTTATCTGCAAAATAATCATAAAAATTAGCCATAAAATCCAGAAGGATAAGAAAATAATAAATATTTACAGAATCTTGCTGACTTTACCATTTGAGCAATTCCTCGATTTGTTAGAATGTATCTGGCATGAATAAGACCATACAGCATTTCAGCAGCTTGCTCAATGAGATCACTTTGATTGGGATTATCTTCCAGTTCATCATCTATAAAATATATATAGCATTATGCAAAAAATAAATAACCAAAATAGGGTTTAGAAAAGTACACCAATTTTTATTATTTCCACTATAAGGGTGTGTACTTTGGGATGGCTTGTCATATAAAACCAAGTCCTCCAACTTAGCCACTGTTACACTATGTTTCTGTGTACCCTCTACCAATTTTTTCTCTGCTTCATTGTTCGAACAATAAAACAAAGCCGTCATCCAAATTTCTCATTCTTATGTAGTCTCATCTGTTTCTCTCTCTTTATCCTACAGATTCTGCCTCTAATTTAATCATTTTACTAATGGTGCCTTCACTTCTGCAATCTGGTGTCCAAGAAGTTTGTTGCCAATCAAAGTTTCTTTGATACTAAATTGTGAATGATGATGAGCCAACAGCTATTCAGCATAAGATGAGGCTTACTTTTTTACTTTCCTATATTTGTCACTTTTAATGTGCAGTTCAACAAAGAGCTCTTCAAATAAACATGTTGTAAACAAAGGAACACCAAAACTTACCCTTGTTATCAGTAAAACTCCTCTTTCTCAAGTCCAATCGCATTTTTATACAGGGTTTGCTCCAATAATAAAATAAGCTATGACTTAAAACACACAAGAAACTCTGAAAAACTGCAAATGCAATTCATATGATAGTGTACCATAATTTCCAATGATTATTTTAAAAGAAAAAAATATTTTAAAAAATCTTATAATTATGCTCTTTAAAAGAAATTATACCTATCATGCTTTTGGAACACCAAGAAAAAGTTTTTGACTTGTACCAAGTTAACTGTAGACACTTCACATAACAAGGGGTGGATTTCTTCATTATTCCTTTTGCTTAAGGTTTAAGTAACTTTCAGGACTTTCTTCGACAATCATATGTGAATAAAATCAAAAACAATACATAATAACTAATAAAGGTACTAATATTTTGCTATCCAATATATGTAAATATATTTCATATTACATTCTTTTTCATTAAGAATGTCAATAAATTATGCTAATATTTATGGAGTAAGACTTTTTAACTAAATAAGTTTAGGTTTGTGAATAATATTGTGGTTTTATGCCAAATTCATTATTCAGTATTATACAGTGGACCATCAGTTTGATGATGATGATATTACATGTTTCTTTTCACTGAAGAAAAGAAATCTGTAACATAATCGTGAGTGTTACACCTAACTGGAAAGTTAATTTCTTAGTTTCAAACACTCTTTTACCATAAAAGAGAAAAATGGGTGTATGCATAAATAAAATCTATATTAAAATGTCATTAGTGTATTTTTTCTTTGCAAAAATATGCCTAAATATGTATTTTTTATAACTAAGGAGATTTGATATTGTGATATTGCATCACTATATAATATTTTCTAAAATTTTTCAAGTCTGTATAATTAAAGTAGAAAATATCTTGGTATTGTTAGCATAGTTTATTTTTTCATTTTGGTGAAAGTTACATTGGCCATAAGATTTATGCAATACACAAAATATAAAGCATTAATATGTAATCAACTTACCTGCTTTTCAAGTAAAGTTCAGCACATATATATTTTTCATAGTTAAAATCTTACTTTTGTTAATATAAATAACCATATCAGATAAACATTGTAGTTTACATCAAGGATGATTATAAATACTTGAACTCACCTGGCTCAAGGTCTAAAATCATGTCCAGCGCTTGTCTATAATGAGGAACTTGTTCACTTAATCCTGTTAAGTTGAACTTATCTTGAATGTAATCTTCATCAACCTAGACAAAAGATGGAACTATACTCAGTTATATATTATACAAGAAGCATGTGTGTATTAGCATATGGATAAAAAGTGACTATTTGATCCTTCAAGGCTGTCCCTACACACAGTCATCTACTTCTACGAAAAAGTAAAAATTAAACACCCCATTATATTTTAGGAAATCATCAATTCCCTTCTTAGCTCTTGTAAGGTGACAGACAGCAGCCTATACTAATCTTATGAGCAATTCATTTCAGACTAATCACTGTTGGAAAAATAATACTTCTTAACTAGAGCCTTGCATTTTTACAAATCTTAAACTTGTGTCTTCTCATCCTATTGTCTTTAGAATTCAGCACAAAGAAATATGATGCCTTTCTTCTACTGATCCCCCCAGATAACCTTGTAAACTTCAATAAGATCACCTCTTACCCTTCTTATCTCAACAGAAAGTAACTCTTCCATCTTTGAAGACATCTTAGCATCCTTCCTGGGAACTCTTTACAAAAAGTCAATATCCTTTCTTAAATAAAAGGATCAAAACTGTACACAATATTCTAAGTGAGGACTAATCACAGATTTGTAAAAGAAAATTACCTCTTTTGCCTCATAATCAATATGCTTAGAAATAAGTCCTAAAATCCTATTAGCTTTTCTAATAGCAACAAAGCACTGCCTCAATAGCTTAAGTGGCTCATATACTTCTATGCCAAGTTCCTTTTCTTCAATTTCACTACTGAATGAGTTTCCATCTATATTCAACATGTGATCCAAATTTTGATAACCCAAATGCATTAACTTCAACTTACTTATTAAACAATGTCAAATTTAATCAAATTAATCTCCTAATATATTTTTTAATGGATAGTATTTGGTGAAGAATTGCCTAGTCAGGAAAAAAGATAAACAGAAAATCATAAATGACATAAAATATAAGCAAGAATTTTTGTAAAATTTAAAACATATACTTGGATAGAAAACTTGATTTAAATAATGCTGAAGGATATAATTTTCCTATGCTGAAAATGTATTACTAATAGGTACTTACCTCTACTCACAAGATTAGCTTATTCTCGTTCAGTGCTGCCCTCTATACGTAAACATTTTCTTTACACGTGCCACAAGCCTTACACTCCCCCCTTGTTGGAATTACTATATTCCAAAATGTTTTCCATGTAAATCATGTAATCACTTATCCAATAGTAGCATAATATAGTCATGTGACGCATGTAACTCCTTCTACACTTCTCTACTAAATCTTCACCTCGAAGTTTGGCAGAAGGTGTAAGCACTGGAAATGTGGAGAGGAAGGGGGGGGGGGAGTTTGAGAGGAGGTAAGTACTTATTGGAAATACATTTTCAGTATAGGAAAAATATAACTTTTGATGTAGTACTTACCTCCTCTCACATGATTACCTAGAATCCCACATTGAGAAGGAGGGACTGGTATGAGGGAATGAAAGAAGCACCTTGAAAGCATCTGAAGGATACTCCAGACAAGAGAGAGAGCTCCAAAGAGGGGAACCACACCACTTCTGACCCAGGCATACTCTTCACCCATATGTGAAGTGTGTAAGACATAAGGGTGGAAATGGAGAGGTGTAGAGTGGTTATGGCACGGCAGACCGTACTCAGTAAGTCAACTACATGAGAGTAAGATGAGGATCATACCATCTTCACCTCAAACCCAGGAATCGGGAATTATGACCCACACCAATTTCTGGGTATGACACGAGGTATACTTTTTGCCCATATGTTAAGTGTGTTAGACATAAGTATGGAAATGGAGAGGTGTAGAGTGGTTAGGGCATGGCAGACCATACCCAGTAAGTCAACTACATCCAAAACCTCCTCACAGGGTACCTACATCCACGTGAGAGTAGGATGATGAATACCGTTTTCACCTCAAACCCAAAAATTGGGGATTATGACTAATATCTGGGTATGACACGAGGATCATCACTGATCTAATGATTGGGAATCGACATCTAGTATCGAAGGATGTCAAATGCATGGAATCCACTCATGTGAGGACTTGTGGTGATTGATTCACTCTAATGTAAAACATCTTAGCTGGGTACCGACATCCATGCAAGGGTAGGATGAGGTCTCCCAATCGATGAGATGAATTGCAATATTGACGGCTCAACTCCAGTATTTATGTAACTGGTATCAGGAGGCCACATCATCCCTTAAGGAGATAGCTAAATTCCAGTGTTTGTGTAAATGGAATCAGGAGGCCACATCATCCAGGAAGGTGAAGGCTCAACTCCCGTGGATTTGGAATTGGTATCAGGAAGCCATGTCACATGTCAACCAGTAAGGTGATGGCTCGACTCAAGTAATTGTGTAAATGGTATCAGGAGGCCACTTCAACCAGCAAGGTGATGGCTCAACTCCAGTATTTGTGTAAATGTAATCAGGAGGCCATGCCATCCTGTAAGGTGAAAGCTTGACTCCAGGGTTTGTGTAAATGGTGTCAGGAGGCCACATCTTCCAGTATGGTGGCAGCTCAACTCCTCTGGAAGCCATGTCACACAGTAAAGCAATGGCTCAACTCTAGTAGTTGTGTAAATAGTATCAAAAGGCCACATCTTCCAGGAAGGAGATAGCTAAACTCCAGTTGTTATGTAAATGTTATCAGGAGGCCAAGTCATCCAGCAATGTGACAACTCAACTCCTCTGGAGGCCACGTCTCATCTACACCAGCAGAACATCACTTGCCTACTCTCAACTGAATGGTTCTGACCCTTTCCTTATGGAACTCATTCAGGAGGTTGCCTCCATAGTCAGTCACCCCAGTAGCTTGGAACTGGAAGGTGATAAGGGCTACCATAATCCACTCATGGAAAGGAGAGCAATATTGCGGTAGAGAGTCCAGAGGAATGACATCACCGGAGACAGTGCAATGGGTGACCATGAAACCTTATTTTGAAAAGCAGACCATACTGAGTCATTCACTTGAGGCATGGCAGGGATGGGCAGCAATACCCTTCTGCTTTACCCATGCAGACCCTGGGTGATATGGTTTGGGACAGCTATTTTTATGAAGCAAAATATCATGAGGTTATGAAACATCAAGCGATCTTGAGGAACACCCAATCTCGACGGTAAGTGTGCAAAACCATGGAAAATAAAGTGAGAGTCAACATGGCTGTAAAGTGCAGATTTAGAGTTAAAGAATACCTCATCAGGCACTACTCACCACAGAGCAGGATCCATGTGATAAAAAGAGATAAAGGCCTCTGAAAGAAATAAAGTATGAATAAAACTTACCAGTTAGAATCACACTGAAGTCTGGAGAATGGCCACAGGTGGTAGGTGAAACCCCGATGAGGAGTAAAGCATAATATGATGAAGATAGTGGGAGATGAACGTACCAAGAGTGGTCCACATGCCAGATTGTAGAATCTCCACCACACGACAACAAAGAAGAGAAGCGAGGGAGAAAGTGAGATGACAAATTTCATGGGAGGAGGCCTGGAATAAGGTATGGGAGGAAGAAGGTAGGAAAGAGTAGGCCAAACAAACCAAAAAGCAGACCCAATTAGTAAGGGTATAAGGTGAAAGATCACGAAGGGAGGAGGACTGCCAAGTCAATTGCACATACCCCAAAAGGGAGCAGTAAATGCCACATAACAATGAAGGGCCCTGATCAGACACAGCAGCCTATGTGGATCTGGTCTACGGTAAAGATGGGATATAGAAGGAAGGGAACTTAGAGAAAAGGATAAACAACCCTCCTGAGCTGCCGAGGTCTTAGGGAGAAAGGTATGATCGGGATAAAGGAGGAGATAGGTAGGATAATAAAGGGTATGTGAAACATCAATGGCATATAAATCCGACCTTTGACATCCACAGGCTAAGAGTAGGAGGAAATATGTTTTAAGGGACACGAGGAAAGTGGTTCAAACTGAGGTAAAGTAAGGGCATGGAGGTTGGACATCTGGAAGGTCGATGTATCCAGAAGGAATGCATGAGCATGCTAAGAACAGGGGAAAGAAAGATCTCATGGTATAAGGAAAAATGAAAGGTATGGGATAGGGCTGCCCAATATCCGGAAAGTGAAGAGAGTGAAGACCCATGGTTGAAGAGACAGGTTAGACATTCTACTACACAAGCCACCAAAGGCTTGTTAGCAGGAAACTACCTGTTAGTAGAACAACAGGAGGAGTATACTTTCAAGGAAGAAGGCCATATGGAATGAGCTAACAAGGAGGTGATTTGACTTGAGAAACTGGATAATCTTGCAAAGGACCAGACAAAATTCAGGTGTGAAGATGCAGGACATGGAGATTGGAATGTAGAATGTGTGATTGAGGATGATGAAGAAAAAGAGAGGGAGAAAGCAGAACAGGGACAAGTGGCAATACAAGCAGACTTTGTAGCCTTGGAAACCAAGGTTGTACTTGCCAATAAGGAGCAATCAGGAGGATCCGACAAGGAGTGCAGTAGACAGAAGAAATCACCCAAGGAAGCAATCAGATGGGAGGGTACAGATAAAGATATTTGTGTGACTAATCCTGGCTGAAAGCATTGACTGCCAAAGCATGTGGACTCGTACCCACAGGGTAGTCACTGGTACTGCTGGCAATGGAGGTTGCATCATCAAGGAAATTAATGAGAAGTATCCTGATTAGAAGGAACAGGTAAGGGTTGGGAGGATGAAGAAACAGGAAACAGGAAAAGGTGGCATATGAGGCTCTGATCAAGAGAAACAGGCTACAAAGGTCTTAAGGGTTGATTGATGATGGACCAATGTAACCCGAGGCTCGATAGTGTCAGGGACTGTATCAAAGATGTATTGTCTCAAAAATGGTGCAAGATGTAAATCCCTGAGATAGGTTGAGGGTAAATTGACCTGTGTCAAATCTTCATCCCGACGTATAAGGTCCCAACAGCAAAGAAACCACATGTGTAACAACAGACCCGAGGAAGAAATATGGGCTAAAGTAGAGGAGAGAAATGTAAAGATACCTGCAGAAAACCCCTCAGGATTTTATGTGGTGAGCCTTTAATAGGAGATGTCTGGAGGAAAGATACCATAAGAGGTTGATGAGGGTAAGATGTAGGTGAGAATATTAGGCATGAGTAAGACTAACATTAGAATCGGGACCCACCCCCCAAATAGGTAATAAAGACCCTAACCTAACAATTGCTGATCTAAATATGGATAGTCTGCACAATGGTAAGAAAGGACAAACTGATCAGAAGTCCTCAGGGGCACAGCATACTGATTGCCTCACTTAATTGTGAGACAAAATGATTCGCATGTACCCAAATATCAGAGGAGAGACGGAAAACCAAAAATGGTTGGGAAGCTTGTTCATGTAACAAGGAAGAACGAGGTGAAGAACAGATAGGGGAAAGGAATAAAACATTACAAGCCTGAGACACAAAATCTGTAAAGACTAAATTAGGCCTAGGTGATTCCTCAAGCTGCAAATGGGAAGGAACAGCAAACTAAGGAGGCAGGAAAAGATGATCAAAGTCCTCGTCATTCTGAACAACATCAGCCAATAGAGGAGGAGCCTGGGCGATGTCAGGGGAACAAAGGTTGACCTATGTAGCATTCAATCTCCCAATGTATATAAAAGCAGAAAGATCCATCATTGGATCGCCCACATCTGAGGCCTGAAAAATAACACTGGTCGTTGGTGTGACCCCCAAAGTGGTAACATGAACCTCAGAATTCATAGCACATGAAAAAAATACACAAATGTCGAGTGCAGAATTAAAGCAACAAGAATGAACTCGTATAAAATAAAACAAAGTCAAAAGAAACTACTTCCTGTTAAAAAGCTACTGTTTGTCACACTGGAAGCACAAGGCACACAAAAGAGTACATCTGAACTCAAATGCTGCTAAATGAGAAGTGAAGGATTGGTAGAGGAATGTAGAGGGAGTCACATGCATCATGTGAGCATATTATGCTACTATTAGGTAAGAGATGATGCATGAAGAAACATGTTGGAATATAGTAATTCCAACAAGAGGGGGGGGGAGCTTAAGGCTTGTGGCATGCGTAAAGAAAAAGTTTGCATATAAAGAACAGCACTGAATGAGAATAGATAATCTTGTGACCAGAAGTAAGTACTGTATCAAAAAAAATGAGCTGTTTCACAGCTTCATTATGCACCAATGCCTTTAATACAATATTTAAAAAATGTATGTGTATATATATAAATTTTCAGTTGTTTTTGTGCTCACTTTCTGAAGTGCATTCTAGTTTTAAAATGTATACATTTTCTCCATTTCTTGCAAAGAGATTTAATGTTTTATTATCATCTTCAAAAATGAGACTTACCTCACAAAAGAATTCATTCCCACGAAGCCCACAAAACCAAGAAATCCATGATACTTCTTCAGAAGAACTCATATTAAAGATATTTAGTACTGTAATATCTAGGTTTCCTTTAGTAGAAAAAAACATTTATTTAGTGTTGGGTTCAAGAATTGGACTTTTATCAAAAGCTAAAAAAACAAACTATATTTTCCTCATGTACAGAGTTATTATACTTGTAAACACTATAAAGACAAGCAAATAATTGTAAACTTTTCACAATATGAATTTTGCAAAATAAATTGAAAGTTAACATTTTCTCAAATCAAAAATGTATTTCCAATAATACTTACCTTTGCCCATCCAAGCACTGGTCTGATTTTTTTATCATTTGCTCCAATCTTTTATACCCCACTTAACTCTCTCAATATTGGCTCAGTCAATTCGACTGACCACATGACCTTTTCGTACTCATTAAAGTCTTTGTAGATTTAATACTTATAACTTTAAATATAGTGTGTATATCTTCACAAAATTTGGCAGTCTTTCAGTTAACATTACAAGACTTTCACATACCAAAATAATATTTTTAGTG